AGCACTTATAATCCCTAGGCAATTTAAAAAGCATTACTCCTTAAAATCTCTACTCTTTTTAAACAAAAAACAAAAAAATATATCTTATGTAATTTTTTTTCTTAAGAAATTAACTCTTCTTTAATTCAGAGCATTCAGTGGAGGAAAAATTAAATCGGGAAAATAGAACACTAGCTGGATATATTCTAGTACCAGAAAGCATGAGATCAAGCCCCCACATCTACTACAGTTCCCTAGACCCTCCCATCCTCCGTGCTCGGCTGTGAACATTGGGGCCTTTGCATTTACTGTTTCCCGGGAGCACTCGTCCCAGATGTGTACATAATCATTCCCTTAGCTTCTTTTAAATCTGTTCCAATGCCACCTTATCCGAGAGAATTTCTCTGACTGTACTATTTAAAACTTCCCTCTCCCTCACTATCAATCTCCTTAACCTGCTTTGTTTTTCTTCTTTCTCACTCCATCACAATGATCTCCATGAAAGCAAGGACCTAATCTGTTTTGTTTATTGCCTCATATCTAGAGCCTAGATCATATGTGACACATAGTAAGCATTTTACCTACATATGCTGAACAAAACAAAGGCCAGTTCTTGGTGCTTGTTTTAAGGGGGCTTGTGATGAATTATGATGTGCCCTTACGAAGTCCATTAAGGTCTAGATAGCTTTCAGTTAGGGGTTAGATTTGCTCAGTGTGGACCCAGAAGAAAAAGAGCAAGGCAGATTTTGGCTGAATGTAAGGAAGAACCTGATAATAATTATAGTTGTCTGAAAAGTACTTGGTATTTCTGTAGATGCTTATTCAGATTGTGTGACCACTTTGGGGATAATTATAGAGGACATTTAAGCACAGTGCACAAATTAGAGTTTATTCTAACATCAGTTCTTAAAAGTGTACAATTTGGTATTAACTCAAAAGTTAATAATCAAGTTTGTTTCTTCTGCAAGGTGCTGCCAGACAGATTGTATCTGTTAATATCGAAAGCAGGGGTTGGCAAAATCTATTTCCTAGGCCAAACTTGGCCCCTCACCTCTTTTTATAAATAAAACTTTGTTGGAACACAATCATGGCCATTTACATATATGTTTATGGCTTCTTTCACATTATAATGGCACAGTTGAATAGTCACAACCAATACTGTATGGAACACAAAAGCTAAAATATTTACTGATAGAAGCCTGGAGCATAAAGATTCGTGCTAGAATGGGCTTTCCTTTCCCTGCCTGCCAGCATTGCCTTTCTGCTCCGGCCCAGTCCCTCTTTGCTTAGGTCTCGGACCTGCCTCTTTCCCTTCCAGGAGCCACTTCTTTCTACTCTAGCCCCACCTTCCCACACTGCCTACAGGCCCTAAGAGACCGGGTCGGGGGTGGGGTGGGGTGGGTAAGGCAGAATGCCTGCATCATAAAGCATCCTGCTTGCTCCCATTACTTGGAGCCTGTGTATGCAAATTAACCACCATCTTTTTTTTGAGTTAATTTGCATACCACTCCCGATTGGCTGGTTGTGTAGCAGAGGTACGATCAATTTACATGTTTGCTATTATTAGGTAAGATGTTGCCCTTTTCAGAGAAAGTTTGCCAACCTCTATACCCTTAACCAATTAACTATGGAAATATATCTGTATTCAGCCTACCAGTTTCCTCCTCTTCCTTCTTCATCATTATTGGTTGTTGTATGTATCAATAAAGAAACAACCATAATAATATAGATCACTCAGAATATTTAAATAGAGGGAATTTAATGCAAATAATTGGTTTCTTGCCAATCAAAGAAGCTTGTAAGTTCATAGATCAGGGTCAGCAGGAAGTTGTCACCACTCCTACCAAAGAGACTCAGGAAGGAGGTAATTTTATCCGAGTCCAGAGGCTGGAAGCCTAGTATGGGGTGGAGGTGTGAGGCTTTTGTTTCCTGAAGTTAGAGCCGCAGAAAGATTCTGCTTCTGCCTTGGATGCTTCCTGAGGTAGAGAGGGCTTCTCCCACGCGTCCAGAAGTCAGCTGGCGCGGGAGCCTGGAACATTGAGCTTGCAGAGGTTGTTCTCCTGAACTATAGAGCAGAGCAGGGAAGATGAGGGATGGGATATGGATGCCTGACCCAACACCAGCACTGCTGCCAATAGTTATTCAGAACTACCATGTGCCAAGTTCAGAGCTAAACGTTTTACATCAACCTTCAACTGGGAGGTAAATACTAGTTTATAGATGAGGATTGGAAAATGAAGTACATTGCTCAAGGCCATGAATTAAACAAATAACAAAGTTAGAATTGAAACCAGGATAGTCTCACTCCAAAATTCTTATTTTAAAAGAATTGGCCCTCTTATTCTACAAATGAGGGGGAAAAAGTAGTTTGGAAAAGATAAGAAACTTACCGCTGGAAAAGACAAGACTAGGTCCATAGCCCAAGTTACTCCTGTTAGGTCTCTGTGTATCTTAACAGCTAAAGCCGCACACCGTTGTTGTAGCATTTAGACAGTGTCCAGAGGAGGCGCCACTCCGGTGAAGGAGGTGTCCTTGCATCCTGAAGCTATTACTAAGCAAACCTTTCTATACCCAGGACTCGGTTATAAAATGGGATTATTAATTACAACTACCTCATAAGAGTGTAGACAAAGATTCAATGGATAATACATCTCGAGACCTCTGAACAAGGTGCCCAGAGTAGGTGCTTACTAAATGCGAAGTCGCTGTTGTCATTGTTAATATTTTTATTATGCTGACCCTTGGAGTGGTTATTCTAGGAAAAGGATGGATCAAAAATTTTATAAAATATTATCCAAGTGCTTCATGAAACAGCCATATCCTCCTATTGGACCTTTTCTCTTCTAGTTAGGAGTGACATTACAAGATAAGGAGGAATAGGATTTTTGTTCTTAAGTGAATAGCCCTCATGAAACTTAGTTTGTTAATGTGAGGCTTTTTTTATGTACTGGTGTTTTTCTATGAAATGCTGCTCTTGTGCTTCCATACAGTTTGTTTCATCTAGGATGGCCTTTTTCCAACTAATTCCCAACATATAACCTTTCCTTTCCTATCCCCATGGCTTTATTCTTAATAAACTCCTCTCTACTCCAAAAGTCCTTTTGCTTAACCAGCTCAATTCCTACAATATCTTACAATGTTACAGAGATTAAGTTTTCATAATACTTTCATTATAATGATAATGCACTCAAGGTTTGCTTCCAGAGGAAAAGTTTCCCTATGATTAGTCACATGACACATTAGTCACATGACACGTTTGCCTTCATACAGCACCTATAGGCAACCTGCATCATGCTGTCCTGTAAGTACTGCCTGCAACAGTGCTGGGGTTTGTCTCTTTATATCTTGTTTCTCCAACTAGGTTAAAAGCGTGAGAACTTTTAAATAGTGGGTCTTTACAAATTCTTACGTTTTATGTGAAAACTTGTACCTATAGTTAAAATTATTTGTATTTTTAAAAATTGGTAATATTTGCTTAAAAGCTAGTCTTGCTGCATGGCAAGGCCCCCAACAACTCCCAGTCGTGTGTGAGGTTCCCTGAGAATGGCTAGGAAAGGAAAGCAGTATCACACTATGAAACAAGATACCAGAAGCATATTTTTCCAGTATGATGCACTGTGTAGCCTACGGTTCATCCTTAGTTTGCATTTTTTTTTTAAAGACAGGTAAAAATGGTAATTTGGCAGGCAGAAACATTAAGCTTGGCATTGCACTGTCATATTTTAATGTGCAGAAAAATATTTTAAAATGCGGGGCCCATAACATAATATAGACCTGCTCTCAGTATGTCCAGAATCTGAGGCTTTGGACTTGATATGCTAGTAATTTGAACCACAGTATATATATAGTGACCATGCAGATATTTGTACATTGTGGTCTATTATTTTTGCACATGCTTCAAGGGACTGCCATCAGAAAACTGTATAAAGTATAGTAAATGTAGAGATCCAGGGAAGGTGGTGAAAAGCCTGAAAATGATATCTGAGAGTGTTTGTAACATCCTCATTATTTATTCACAATTAATAATTTTATCTAATGACTTGTTCCATTCTTCCATATTTAAAGTGAGTGTTTCTCGGTCAGGATTTCAAAAGCAGTAGTTTCATGTTTTAGGTGCAACAGCTGCAGAACTCTAAAAGGTACATCAAATTAGATCATATTGTTCAAACACTGTGAGATGTTATATTTCTAATTCTTTATGAACTTAAGTATAGAATGGCCCTGTGGTATTCAGCATCTGGACCTAACTAGATTGGCAAGATTTTCCTCTGTAAAAAATCCAGGTAGAAGCAGCATTCCAAATTTTGAAAACAAATACTTCTCTCTTCACCTTCCCAACATCCTTCTCTGTCCCCCACTCAACACATGTACATGTTTTGAACCAAATTAGTATTTTATTTTCTGTGATGTTAAAGTTGAAATGTAAATCCTAATAAATCCACATTCCTTGAATTGGAAGGTGTTTAAACTTGAGACCTAGCATTTTGCCCAGTTCATCCCATGTCTTAAAATATGGTTTTTGTCAGAGCTAGACAGTAAACAGCTATAATAGTCGGGATCCAAACCACAATTAATAGTGCTGAATGGCATGTTACAAACCTGCCCCTTGATTCCTTAAAATAAAGAGCTGGGAGTAGCTGTGGCAACTGGAACTCAAACAACTGCTACCAAAAAAGATTCTGTGTTTTGGTTTCTTCTCCTGGTTTTTATTTGTGCTTATAAGGAGATACCTGATGAACCGATTGCAAAGTGGACTATGACATGCATCTGAGAGTAAAGTTATATGGAAAATGTCTAACACTTCACTTTGTTTAAATGACTTCAGTTATTTCTTCTGTGGCTAAGATTACAAGTCAGACACTTCAGTCTGAATACTGGTTGTAAAAGAGTAGAGCATATTCCAGAGAGTAAGGAGTGAGCTAATGTGTCGGAGTTCAGGCAATTTTAATTTTAGGGACACTGTCCCTTGGTTTTGGAATTTTTTCAACAATCGTACCATTTATGATTTTATTTTATTTTAGCCATGTCCTTTGGGGGCCCGAGATTTTCGAGAGAAACAGTGTGCAGACTTTGACAATATGCCTTTCCGTGGAAAGTATTATAACTGGAAACCCTTTACTGGAGGTAATGTATAACCTGGCAGAGCATTCATCATGCTTGAGAGCTTTGCAAACATGAAAGAATATATAGACAATACACAGACACACACATTTCTACACATACTAGTAAAAATTAGTGTTTGTAAATCAAAGCAGGAAAATACTTATAATACTATAAAGGTCTCGTGTTTTAGTTTCCCTGTAATGCGCTTTATGTTAGTACAAATGATCAGAAATCATTTTTTAACATCCAATTCTATTTACAAAGGACTTATGTAAAACTAAAAAATATTTTTGAGTTCTTGACTTCCTCAAGGTATGTGGACATTACATTATAATCATGGAGTGTTTAGAGCTGTCACCCTGAAAACAAATTATAACAATATAAATCAACTCAAAGAGGAGGAAAATGTGTTCTTTCTTGAGAAAAGGATAAGGATCTTTCCATCTATTTTTAAAATTCTTTTTTAGTGTTGGGAAGCATTTTTGCTCTTTAATTTGGGCATGTATCAAACACCAGTTGTTCAGTAAGCACAAAAAGTTTGCTTACACTCCCCCCCAAAAAAACTAAACTTTGTTAAAATTTTCTCTTGGAAAGATTGAATGCACATTCAAAATTTTTGCTTGCTTTAACATTTTTGAAAAAAATTTCAACATAGAACAATATTGAAATAATTGTACAGTGATGTTTTTTATCCACCACCAAGATTTTACCATTAACATTTCATTTTATATGTTTCATTACGTCTAGTTATCTCTGTCCATTCATCAATCTATTGATATGTTATTTTTGTATGCATTTCAAAGTAAATTATATAGTTACTAATATACTTTTCTGTAAGTAATTAAGCATGCATACATCAAGTTCAGTACTGTTTACTTTTTTTTTTGAAGTTAGATTATGTATTGATACAATGAAATGCATAAGTCTTAACTGTACTTTCCCTAAGTTTTAACAAATGCATATACTTGTAAAACTCTGTTAAGGTATAGAGCATTACCATTACCTCCATAGTCCTTCCCAGTCCATAGCTGCCTCTACCTGTTCGTTCTAAGAGGCAACTTCTGTTATGATTTTTTTTCTTACCATAGATTAATTTTGCCTAGCCCAGAACTTGATATAAATGAAATTATGTCATATGTACTCTTTTGTGCAAGGCTCCTTTAAGCCCAATATTTTTAAAATCTATCTGCATTATTGCATGTACAAGTAGTTTGTTCCTTTTTTATTGCTAAGCAGTATTATAATACATTTGCTTTTCCATTCTGTTACTGATGGATACCTGGGATGTTTCTAGTTTACAGTTGTTATGAATCAGCTGCTGTGATTATTTGCATACTCATCTTTTTATGGGTATATGTTTTCATTTCTCTTGGGTAAATGCTTAGGAGTAGAATTGCTGAGTAATAGGGTAGGTGTGAGTTTAATTTTAAAAGAAACTGCCAGATATTTTCCCAAGGTTATTGTATCATATCACAACTCCCATCAATAATGTAAGTTCTGTTTGTTCCATCTCCTTGCCAACATTTAATGTTTTCAGTTTTCTTCTTATGGGTATTTAATGATGTTTTACTGTAGCTTTAGTTTGCATTTTTAAAAATAATTTTATTGATTTTAGAGAGAGATAGGAACATCAACGATAAGAGAGAATTATTGAACGGCTGCCTCTGCACGCCCTCTACTAGGGATTGAGCCCACAACCTGGGCATGTGCCCTTGGCTGGTATTGAACCTAGGACCCTTCAGTCCGCAGGCAGATGCTCTATCCACTGAACCAAATCAGCTAGGGCTTTAATTTGCATTTCTGATTATTATTATATTGAGCACATTTTCATTGACCATTTATGTATCTTTTGTTAAGGGCTCACATTCTTTACTTATTTTCAAATTGGTATTTTATCTTTTCACTAGAGGCTTGATGCACGAAATTTGTGCAACAGGCTCGGCCCTCGCAGCCCTGGCTTCATCCGAAAGGTCGTCCGGAAGGACATCCAGAAGGTCATTTGGCTGTCCAGTCTAATTAGCATATTATGCTTTTATTATTATAGATTCTCTAGTGGTAGCCGTTTATCAGATAAGTTTTAAGAATATTTTCCCACAGCCTGTGGCTCTCCTGTTACTTTATAAATGGTATTTTAGATGAATATAGGATTTTAATTTTGATGAATTTTAACTTTTTTTATCTTTTTATTTTATGATTGTGTTCTGTGTCCTGTCTTAGAAATCTTGATCTACTTCAACTATAGATGGTATTTTTTAATCTTTTATTCTGAAAGCCAGATTTTTTATTTTCACATTTAGATGTACAATCTAAAACAACTTAGAGATATGGTGTGTATTTATAGTATATTTATGGACTCTATTTTGTTTCATCAATCTATTTGTCAACCCCATGTTAGTACCACACTGACTTAATTATTGTAAGTTCCTCCAACTTTGATCTTTTTAAAAAGAGTTATTTGGATATTCTAAATCGTTTGCATTTCCATATAAATTACAAAATTTGTTGTTAATTGCTACAGAAAAACATGCTGGGCTTATGCTTGTTATCATGTTGAATCTGTAGAGCAATACAGGAAGAACTGATAAATTAAAATATTGAATTTTCCAATTTATGAACATACCATATATCTCTTTGTATTTGTGTTTTTTTAAATGTCTCTATAGCTGTGTTTTGTAGTTTTAGGTATAATATCTTGCACATCTTTTGTTAAACCTGTTTCTGAGTAATATATGTGTTTTGACACTATTTATAAGTGAAAGTTTTAAAATTTTCATTTTGAATTATTAACTCTAGTATATAAAATACAATTAATTTTTATATATTAAGTTTGTGTTCTGTTATTTAGGATTTTCTTGCTAAATAGTCATGTTATTTGGAATAGAGATGATCTATTTCAATCTTTTTTGCCTTTTATTTTATTTTCTTGTCTTAATGCACTATCTTAGCCCTTCAGTACAATTTGTGCATGTGGCAATTATATGTGATTTTCTTCTTTATTCTATTAATATGATGAATTACTAGATAGGTTTTATAATGTCAAACCAACCTTTTATTCCCAGGATATACCCTATGTGGTAATGATTTATTATTTTTATATGTTATTAGTTTTAACAACTAATACTTTATTAAGTATATTTGTGTCTATGTTCATAAGGGAAACTGATTTCTAAATTTTATTTTTGTCATGTCTTTGACAAGTTTTGGTATCAGAGTTACTCTGGCTTCCTGAAATAGAATTCTTATTTATTTTGAAAGAGTTTGTAACATTAGTAGTATTTTTTCTTTGGAAAAAATAGTAAAAGCATGCATGTTTGATATTTTCTATTGATTATTATTATTTGATAATAAAAAATTATTACAAATTCAGCGCCTTTAACAGTTAAAAGAATTATTCAGATTCTTAAATTTCTTATGTAAGTTTTCAAATTTGTGTCTTTGATAAGTTTATGTTACACCTATGTAACATAGACTTATGTTTTGATAGAAAATTGACCATAACATTCTCTTATTATCCTGTTTAATATCTGTAGGATCTGGAGTGATGTATATATGCTCTTTCATTTCTGATATTTATAATATGTATTTCTCTCTTTTACTTGATCAGTCTTACTTGAGGTTTATCAATTTTAATTATCTTTTCAGAGAGACAACTTTTCTGTTTTTATTTCCTTCATTTCAAAGTATTATCCTATTTACATTGTGATTTTTTTCTTTGACCCATGGGTTATTTAGGTTATTTATAACTGTCATTTTTATTTCTTTTTGTATCCTGCTACTTTACTAAAGTCATTTATCAGTTCTAGAGTTTTTTGGTGACATTTCAAAATATTTTATATATTCTAGATTTTTTGTTATTAATTTATAGTTTAATTCTAATATGCCTAGATAATACTCTGTATGATTTAAATTCTTAAAATTAATTGGAATTTATTTTATGGTATAGTTTATTCTCCATGTTGGTGAATGTTCTATGTATACTTGAAAAGTATGTGTTTTCTGCAGTTGTTGGATATAGTAGTGTTCTGTGGATATCCATGAGGTCAAGTTGGCTAGTATTATGCAAATATTTTTTATTCTTTCTGTGTTTTTGTTCTTTTTCTGCTCTTGCTCTTCTATTAATTACTGAGAGAAGTGTGTTAAAATATTGAACTATTATATGACTTTCTTTTTTATAAATTTTTGTTTCATGTATTTTGGATCACTTTTATTAAGTTCATTTACATTTGGGATTGTTTTATCTTATTGTAGGAGGATTTAATAATTACCATCTAGGTAATTGAGTGGAATAAATTAACACTAAATTCATAATATGCTTTAAATGAAGGTAATTGGTAATGTGACCTTCTATTTAGAGCACATGTGTCAAACACAAGGCCCGCGGGCCAAATCCGTTCCGCCAGGCCTTGCAATGTGGCCCGCACCGCGCTGTCATCACTGCACTCCGCTGCGTTTCCATCACAATGACAGTTTATGACTGTTCAGTAAACCATTCGGCCTGCAATTTAGGCTGGATTTTAGATTTTGGCCCCTTCTCTGATTGAGTTCGACACCCCTAATTTAGAGACTCATCCAAAATTCCTTTTTGAAATAATAGCAGTACCTCTTCTGAAAACTCATTGTAATAGAGAAAGCTATATACCCAATACATCTTGAGCAGTAAAAAAGGAGGAAATTTATTTCTATGAATACAACCATTGCAATTATATGTCTTGCCTGTCAAATACTATGTTATATAATTAATATAGTGTTAAAATTGAGTAAATAAAAGGCAACTGTTTTCTTTAAAAAGCCCATTACATAAAAAGCTACGTTAATTTTCAAAACATTACAATAATAAATGGGGGAAGAATAATAGTAGGTAGTAATGAAAACAATTCCAGTAATATAGAGCAATTTTATTCATGAGAATCTTACAAAAATAGATTATAAATACCTTGATTATCAGTTCAGAAAGAAATTATTTTATTGGTTACTTATTATTTCTGTGCTCAGGACAGCAAAATATATCATTACCCTAAGCTTAATAAAACCTTATAAGTCATATAAGAGTTTTATAGCCTACAGATAAAGAAAATGGAAGAAAACATGAACTTGGGCCAGGGGTTGTAAACTGGTGGTTCAAGAACAGTTTTTACTTACATAAGTGTTCTAATCTTCACAGAATTTTTGAAAATGTTGAATGAGTTGCCAAGAACAGGTTATATTTTAAAAATCTAGGTTTTTAATCTTCTCTTGAAAAATTAGGGTGTGTGAAAATATTTTGGGCCATCTTCTTGCATGATAACTATCCTCTATAATAAAACCCTAATATGCAAGTTGACTGAATGGCAGAACGACTGGTCACTATGATGTGCGCTACCAGAGAGCAGATGCTTGCTTAGTGCAGGAGCTTCGCCCTGGTGGTCAGTGCGCTCCCACAGGGGGAGCACCACGGAGCCAGAAGCTGGGCTCCCGGCTGGTGAGCGCAGAGGTGGTGCGGCAGCCTCTCCCACCTCTGCTGCAGGCGGGTGGTAAGGAGTGAGGGGTTCCCAGACGGACAGAGGGTGCAAGCTGGACTGAGGGACACCTGCCCCCTAGTGCATGAAATTTCATGCACTGGGCCTCTAGTCAATTATAACAGTGATCTCCTTTAAAGGAATGGTCTTTCTCTCACTTATCATTGTGTTCACCAGCCAGTTGGCTTCTCTCTTTTACCCTACATACCTTTCACTCTTCAGCAACCTGGGTCTACCTTCACTGAGGCCTAGGCACGCTGGTTCAATCCTTCTGCCTTATTTTCTTTATAAGAAGTAGTCAAGCTTTATTTCAAAGAGAAATTTTATCAGAATAATTAGAATAAGACCAAAGTGTTTTAAACTTCAAAAAAAGGAAGATTCAATATAAATTATTCTGCTTAGTACGTCATATTTTTAATCAATAGTTACATATTTGTAAGTCACTTTTTCATGCACTGTTTTGAGTGAAATATATCCATATTTATTGCTACTTTTCAATATATTATGAGGTTATGACATGCAATTTGCTTATTGCTTTAATTGGCTAATCTCATACCTATCTTTTATATCAACCTTAAAAAATACAAATTTCAATGACAAAATGAAAATGCTCAAGTTATTATATGTGTTCACAAAATAATATTAGATATTGTTTTAACTATTCAATTTTATAATATAATTAACTTTATCCTTGATTTGCTAATCTGATAGCAATTTATCTCCACACTGAAGCATACTCACGGAACATGATATGTTTAAAACAGGTACAAATAGTTTTATTTTACAACTACCATGTCCCTGCAAAAGTAAGGAGAGTTTTTAAATCAGATTCTAGTTTTTGTATAGGAATTGCAGAAATTCCAATTCGTTCTATAAGGTAAAAGTCTCAAGCCTCCTTAAACTATATTTCCTTGGTTCATTTTTTAAAAAGTTTTTATTTCATTTATTTGCTTCAACATGCAGGTCCCTCCACTGTGATCCCTTTTGACCCAAAATATATTGTAAACATATATTAGAAACACCTAAAATTTTTAAACTTGAAAACTACTTAGCAGGACCTTCATTAAGTTGCACAGGCAATGAAAATTTAGCAAAAGAGGAAAGAAACCTACACATCCAAGGTTATAGTCAGGGAATGATGTATATATGAATTGTAAATTTGCTATGGGTAATATTGGATCACTGTCTCATAGGAGAACCACTCCATTTATTTATTTATTTTTTTTACTGCATTTTTCCAGGTGGAGTGAAACCTTGCACATTACACTGCTTGGCTGAAGGCTACAACTTCTACACTGAACGTGCCCCCGCAGTGATTGATGGGACTCGGTGCAATACGGATTCACTGGATATCTGTATCAACGGAGAATGCAAGGTTGCTTAAATGATCACTAGAGGCCCAGTGCACGAAATTTGTGTACTGGGGGTGGGGTCCCTCAGCCTGGCCTGCATCCTCTCCAATCCAGGACCCCTCGGGGGATGTCCAACTGCCCTTCGCAATCAGGGACCACTGGCTCCTAACCACTCACCTGCTTGCCTGTCTGATCACCCCTAATCTTTCTGTCTACCTGCCTGATCGACCCTAACCACCTCTGCCTACTTGCTTGATTGCCCCTAACTGCTCCCCTACCGTCCTGGATCACACTTTACTGCTCCCCTGCTGGCCTGATCGCCTCTAACCGCCTCTGCCTTGCCCTACACCCAGGACCCAGGATTCCCTCCTTCAGACAAGCACCCAGGACCCGGGCTTCCCTCTGGCTGGCTGCAGGCACCCAGGACCCGGGCTTCCCTCTGGCTGGCTGCAGGCACCCAGGACCCGGGCTTCCCTCTGGCTGGCTGCAGGCACCCAGGACCCGGGCTTCCCTCTGGCTGGCTGCAGGCACCCAGGACCCGGGCTTCCCTCTGGCTGGCTGCGGGCACCCAGGACCCGGGCTTCCCTCTGGCTGGCTGCGGGCACCCAGGACCCGGGCTTCCCTCTGGCTGGCTGCAGGCACCCAGGACCCGGGCTTCCCTCTGGCTGGCTGCAGGCACCCAGGACCCGGGCTTCCCTCTGGCTGGCTGCAGGCACCCAGGACCCGGGCTTCCCTCTGGCTGGCTGCAGGCACCCAGGACCCGGGCTTCCCTCTGGCTGGCTGCAGGCACCCAGGACCCGGGCTTCCCTCTGGCTGGCTGCCGGCACCCAGGACCTGGGCTGGTCTCACCGGGGCCAGCCACAGCCGCAGGGGACCATAGTCAGGCGGCTTTGCCTGAGCCACAGTTGCAGGCTTGTCCCTCTCCTGAGCCACAGGTGCAATCATTTGCGCCCTGGATTGTGGGGTGTGTGGCTTGTCTCTCACCCAGGCCACAAGTGCAGCCGCCGGTGCCTGGAACCACAGGGACCATGGGTCATGCAGATTGTCCCTCTCCCAGGCCACTGGCACCTGGGACCAGGAGGACCATGGGGTGTGCAGATTGTCCCTCTCCTGAGCCACAGGTGCAGCCACTGATGCCTGGGACTACGGGCAGGTGGCTTATCCCTCTCCCGGGCTGCAGCCTCAGGACCATGGGGCATGCGGCTTATCCTTCTCCCAGACCACAGCCTGGCTGGTCCCCATTCTTCCCTCCCCAGTGTTGAGTGTCTGAACCATGAGGGTGTGATGACCATTTGCATACTAGTGCTTTATTGTATAGTATTTTTTTTCTTGTTTTTTTTTTTTTTTACCTTAAAGTGAAGGACAAGGCTAAGCCCCAGAAAGAAAGAAGATACAAAAACATTGTCTGTTTTACATAATTTCTTGCAAACATCTCCTGGCTGCTGGCCTCCAAATGTATCTGATGATAGCCCAGTGTGTGTGTGTGTGTGTGTGTGTGTGTGTGTGTGTGTATGTGTGTGTGTGTTTACCTGAAGAAAAGGTTATTTCTGTGTCAATATTAAAATTCTTTTTAGATGATAAAGACCCATGTACAGCTTACTGGTATATTCAGAGATTACATGCCTGGTATCAATGGCTAAATGACAAATATACAAATTTAAATACCAAAATTTGTACCAAAAATATATAAGAATCCGCATCTCTATGGTTCAATGAAAGTCTGAAAGGTAAAGTTTATGGCAATTTTATTTAGCTAGTGGGTACAGGTATTCATTTTTAAAACTTACCCATCATGAATTTCATAGCTGATCCTTGACTTTAACAATTGGATAATCCAAAAGGGCTGGTGATTGAGAAAGGGCAAACTGTCATGCTCAGTCAGGACTCTTGCTGTTTTAACTTTGTTTAGGACTAAAAGCCATTTTTTTTAGTTCTTACATGTATTGATTTGGGGTATAAGTAAGAGTCCAATGCTAACACATGATGATATTTTAAGAATTGAAGCATGGTATCTATAAATAAATAAATCTAGGTTAGAAATATAGACATCTATTCCTGGGGAATCAGAATTTTTTTTCTTTAAAGTTATGTATTGAGAAATGTTAGCTAGGACTTAGTGGAGAAGAAGGTAAAAGTGGAGAGGAAAATATTTCTCGTTTTGATTTGCTTTCATGGAAAAACAAGTAAATAAATACGCTACATTTATTTGATTAGTAGGAATTCTTCTTTTTCACACACTGAATATTCTTCCTGTTTGCAGCATGTAGGTTGTGATAATATTTTGGAATCCAATGTTAAGGAAGATAAATGTCGAGTCTGTGGAGGGGATGGAAGCACCTGCGATGTCGTTGAAGGGTTATTCAATGAGACGTCACCCAGAGGAGGAGGTGAGTGTGTAGAGGAAACTCTTTCTCATGCATCTGTGTACTTGGAATAGGCACCGCATTTGATCACCACTACCACCCCTTATTTTAAAATTTCTTTAGGCAGACATTGCTTTCCCCCCAAATTACTTTCAGTCTTTTAAAGTATTAAATATGGCTTCATGTGAGATTTTTATTTTATTTTTTTATTGTCTAAAATTTTACATATGTCTTCTTTGACCTCAATTGACTACCCTCCCCCCGCCCCCGCAGCCATTCCCACCCCAAGCATGTCCCCACTGTCCCTGTGTCTGTGTCCATTGGTTATGCTAATATGCATGCATAAAAATCCTTTGGTTTCTCTCTAACCCATTTCACCCCTCCTATCATTTGTCTCTGGATCTATTCTTGTTCAGCAAATTATGTTGATCATTATATCCCACATAAAGTGAGATCATGTGAAATTTATCTTTCTCTGATTGGCTTATTTCACTTAGCAGAATGTTCTCCAGTTCTATCCATGCTGTTGCAAATGGTAAAAGCTCCTTCTTTTTTACAGCGGCATAGTATTCCATTGTGTAGATGTATAATAGTTTTTTAATCCACTCATCTGCTGATGGGCAGTTAGTCTGTTTCCAAATCTTAGCTATTGTAAATTGTGCCACTATTAACATAGGGGTGCATATATCCTTTCTGCTTGGTGTTTCTGGTTTCTTGGGATAAATTCCTAGGAGTGGGATTACTGGGTCAAATGGGAGTTCCATTTTTAACTGTTTAGGAAACTCCATACAGTCTTCCACAGTGGCTGAACCAGACTGCATTTTCTCCACCAATGCAGGTGTGTTCTTATGTAAGATATTTTAAGTAAATATTATTTCCTTTCAATTTGACTTCATTTTGCCATGTTTCCTTAAAATACGAATTTCCATAGTAGATTGATGTGTGGGCCACGGTTGAGAAAATAAAATGAACCAATATTGTACATGTTGAGGCTTTAAAAGTATCCTGAGGTATTTTAGAGGAAAAAAAGAATACTCTAGAGGTATTCATTAACCAAAAGGGGAATTTGCCCATATTTCATAATTTGTATAGTGGAAAGTTGACAAAAGCATGGTAGAATAAGGAAACTCGTTACTGAATGGTTATTAAACATTCATTTTCTGACTGAGGCTGCATAATCTACTTACGCTGGCTGTCTTCTGTGGTCCAGGCTACCTGACAGTTGTGCAGATACCAAGAGGTTCTGTTAACATTGAAATCAGAGAAGTTGCCGTGTCACCTACCTATATTGGTGAGTAGCATATTTTGGTAGATTTCAAAAATTAAGAAGGTACAGCACAATATCCTAAAGGAAAAGACATAGTGCTTTGCCAACTAGAGACAGACTCAGAGAGCAGGCAGACAGCTATGGAGTTTGGGGTTGGGGTGGGGCGGGGCGGGGGCAGTGTGTAGAGGGATAGAGAAGGAAAAATAGAGAACTCATGGACATGAACAACAGTGTGGTGGTTGAGGGTGGGAATAGTGGGTGAATGGAGGTGGAAGAGGACATAAAGGGATAAATGGTGATGGAAAAAGAAAAACAGACATATTGCTTTGAGGTGGAATACTTTTATGCTAAAATGAAATTCCAAGTCTTATAGGACCACATGTAAGAAAACTAAACATAAAAATTAGTAGTTTATAGCTTACTCTTCACTAAGTTGCTTATTTGATTTTAAAACCAATGTTATTGGGGAATAACATATATAATAAAGTACATCCTATCTAATAAAAGAGTAATATGCAAATTGACCATCACTCCAACTCACAAGATGGCCACCCCATGTAGTCAAAGATGGCTGCCCCTATTTGGACACAAAATAGCCACTAGAAGATGGCTGGCAATGGAGCATAGTTGTGGGAGATAAGGCCAGCTGGAGAGGGCAGTTAGGGGTGATCAGGCTGACAGGAGAGGGCCGTTAGGGGTGACTGGGCCAGCAGGGCAGGGGTGTTAGGGGTGACCTGGCCAGCAGGAGAGCGAAGTTGGTGGGGAACCAGGTCTGTAGGGGAGGGCAGTTGGGGGTAACTAGGCATCCATGGGAGGATAGTTAGGGGTGACCAGGCTGGCAGGGGAGGGCAGTTAGGGGCAATCCATCCAGCAGAGGAGAAGTTAGGCATCAATCAGGCTGGCAGGGGAGTGGTTAGGGGCAGTCAGGCAGGCAGTTAGGCAAGCAGTTGGGAGTCAGCAGTCCTGGATTGTGAGAGGAATGTCCGACTGCCCATTCAGGCCAGATCTCAGCCTAAATGGGTAGTTGGACATCCCTTGAGAGGTCCCAGATTGGAGAGGGTGTAGACTGGGTTGAGGGACACACACACACACACACACACACACACACACACACTGTGCACAAATTTCATGCACCAACCTCTAGTCCAGGCGTCCTCAAACTTTTTAAAGTGGGGGCCAGATCACGGTCCCTCAGAGAGCTGGAGGGCCGGACTATATGAACTACTAATTCCTACTGTAACACCTCGGCTGCGCTCACTGCCCAAAAAACCTGGCGGGCCGGATCAGACTCCTCTGCGGGCCACATGTGGCCCGCGGGCCGTAGTTTGAAGACGCCTGCTCTAGTCCATTAAAAGTATAAAGTTCAAAGAGTACTGACAATTATTTGTGTGTATATATAACACAGCCAAAATGTAGATCATTTCTGACTCTAAAACATTCTCTTATTTGCTTTTGCAGTTAAATCCCCCTAGCCTTAGCCTCAAGCAAACATTGATCTTTAATCTGACTTATGTATTTCACTAGTCACCAGTTGCAGGAAGATTCATGCAATAGGGCTTCCTGTGGAGGTCTCCATTGCCCTGCCTGCTACCCTCCCTTCTCCCCTGCCCCGCCTGCTTTCCTCCCTTCTCCACAGCTCTGTCTGCTTCCCTACTGCCCCACTTGCTTGCTTCTCCGCAGCTTTGCTCCCTTCTGCAGTGCTTGGCTTCCTTCTATCTTCAGTCTTCACTCTCAGCCTGGATATGCAAATCAACGGCCATCTTGGTTGGGTTAATTTGCATATTCACTCCTGATTGGCTTGTGGGCATAGCGGAAGTATGGTCAATTTGCATGCTTCTCTTTTATTATTAATAGAATTATATTTGTCTGGAATTTAACATAATGGGATAATACATTATATACTTATATGGCTTTTTTTTTTTTTACTCAGCATAATGTTTTTGAGAGTCATCTATATTGTTGAATGTATTTGAAGTTCACTCTTTTTTATTGCTAAATAATATCCCAATGTATGGATATATCATAACATTTTTATTTACTCACTTGTTATGAATATTTGGGTCATTGTTAGTCTTTGACCATTATGAATCAAGTTTCTTTGAACATTTATAAACAAGCTTTGAGTGGACATATATTTTCATTTCTCGTAGATAAAAGTCTAGGAGTGAAATGATAAGGTTATATAAGTACATGTTTATTTTAACTTTATAAGAAATTACTAAACTGTTTTCTAACATGGTTGTATTATTTATATTCTCACCAATACTTTAGATGAGTTCCAAATACCTACTCCCATCCTTTTCAAAATTGCCAGTCTTCTTAATTTTATCTATATAGATATCATTTTTGTGTTTAAAGTGTCTAAACAAATTATTTTTCCTATTTAAAATTTTTTATTAAATCATGAGTTCTTTATGTATTCTATACAAGTCTTTGTTAAAATACATGTTTTATGAATACTTTCTCCTAGTCACTGGCTTATCTATTTTCTATCCTTATTGGTGTCTTTTAATTTGCATGAACTCTAAGTTATTAAGTTTTTTATTGTTTGGGCTTTCATGTCCTTATAAATTTTGCCTACCTCAAGGTTGCATATATTATCTTCAACATTTCCTTAAGAAAATATAGTTTTAGCTTTTACATTTAGGAATATGGTCTATTTTGAGTTTTTATATAAGGTATAAAGTTAGGGTTGAGGTTAAATTTTTTTCATATAGATATTCAATTACTATCACACCATTTGTTGAAAAAGATTATTATTTCTTAAGTCAAAAGATCAAATTCTCCTTGTTTCCCTTCTTGCACATATCACTGTCCTGCCCTGTCCAGGCCAATGTCTAAGAACAGCTAATTCATGTTTTGTGAGTTTTCTAGTTGTTTACATTGATGGGCAAATCTAGTACCAGTTATTTCAACAGGGAAAGAAGTGGATATTCTATTTAGTTTATGTTTGATCTTTTGAAACAGATTTAGGTTCTCCAAGACCCCTAGTGAGGCCTGGATGAGTTCTTTTGTCCTTTAACATATCATTGCCTTTTCAATAAGTCTTTAAAAAATAAGATGACATTTCGAATACATCTTTGGGTAGAACATCAGTATAATCAGGCTCTTCATTTATTCTAGAAGAGCCCTTTATTTTTTCATCATAATTTTGGAGTCAGCAAGACTCAAAACAAAAATAAGATTTGTAACATTAAATTTTTCCCTTTGATGATTCTCTGTCGATAATGCCACATCCATTGAAATATATATTAATTAGTACTTCTTTTTATGGTTGAATAATATTTCCTTGTATTATAAATACCACAATTTGTTTATTCTTTTATCCATTGGTGGGCAATGAGTTGTTTCTACTTTTGGTTATTGGGACTAGAGCTACTATAAACATGTTTGTACAAATATTTGTTTGAGTACCCATTTTCATTACTTTTGGATATGCACCTAAGAGTGGAATTGTGGTATTTATAACAAACAAAATACAAATTCATCATCATCATGCTGAATTTATTATTTGCCAAATGGCTAGTCTTTTGTCTTGGTTTCATATCTTATCTTTTTTTAAAACTAATTTAAGAAGCTTCTTTTGTCATCTATTTTAAGATGCTTCATTTTTAAAAATTATTATTATTGATTGTTATTTCTTAACTATCTGTTTGGTTGTGTTGTTGTCTGTCTGAGTGCCAGTACCATAGTTTCTCCCCAACCCATAAATTCATATAATTACTCTTTAATATTTCAACAGGAAAGTCTGCTTCCTCCAGATCTCCCATTTCTAGTTATTTCTGTTGTCATACTTTTCCTTGTTAGTTCCATATGTTTATTTCTCCAGGTAACATTTTATTCCTTTCTATCAATGACATCATAAATACTTGATAGCTTATTGGCATTCACATGGAAAATTGCCATTTTAATTTTTACTTTAGAAAATAGACAAGAATGGCATCTCTAAATGGAAATGAACATTCATTGAATACTTGTTATTTACCAGTGACACTGTAGTAAATGAAGTTTCATGTTTTTAGGTGTACTGTGATTCTTTTTTTTGTTTTTTGTTTTGTTTTTTGTTTTTTTTTAGCTTTAAAATCTGAAACAGATGAACACTATCTTAATTGTGGCTGGACTATTGACTGGCCTAAGAAGTTTGATGCTGCTGGGACAACTTTTAACTACAAGAGACCAACCGATGAACCAGAATCCTTGGTAGCTCCAGGTCCCACCTCGACAAATCTCATTGTCATGGTAAATGTGCCTTTGCCTCTTTGTTTTCCCTGCTTTATAGTTAAATTAGGTAAATAAAGGTGAAATGCTTTACCCAAATGTTTAAAATCTTTGAAAAGTTAAAGCCAGAGTGCTCTTCCATATGAATGACCATTTCATTGCTTGGTTGAATAAAATGTTTATAACCAAACAAGGTAGATGAAAGACATGGCTCTAAATTACCTATGAAAATGGAAGGAGAAAATTCAATATAAGTGCATAAGGCTTACTTTATGGCATTATCTTCTTCAAAAGAAATAATAATATTCTGAATGAAGGCTCATTGTATTTTAATTATCTTAATGGCAGATTCTGTTTCAAGAAAAGTATGAGGGAATTACATATAAGTTCAATGTTCCTATCCCTCGGACTGGCAGTGGAGACAGTGATATTGGCTTTGCCTGGAATCATCAGCCTTGGTCAGAATGCTCCGCTACTTGTGCTGGAGGTAAGACACCCACTAGGCAGCCCACCCAGAGGGCAGCATGGAAAGCAAAACATGTTGTGAGCTATGCTTTTGTGTTTGCTAAAGAAGCTAATTGGAAACATTTCTTGCAGGTTTGCTTCAAGCTGTAATTTAGCAAAAGAAACTTTGCTTTAATTATATTATATTCCATTTGTTTTTAACCTCATGTAATTTGTACAGATTTGTTGGTAAAATACATCTTGGCACAATGAGTGTCTCTGCTGATGCTTCTCCCAAGACTAACTTGAAGGTGGGCTGTTTGCTTTTCGTGAACACATTCTTGGTAAAGAACATCAAGAGTTTTAAACAAGAAAATGGGCAAGAATCAGGCGGCATAGATACAGCTTCTTGTAATGGGGCATGAGGATGTATGTCTGTGTGCTTGTGTGTTTGTGTGCTTGTGTGTTTCCCATTATTGTACTCAGTCTCCCTTCTCCTGCTATCCAAGTTAAGGGGCTCTTTACCAGGATACTACAATCATTACTGGTGTCTAGGTCTCTGGGTTAATGGTGTGTGCCGACCCCCAGCATAGTCCCTCAGAGAGGTAGCTCCTAGGCGGTGGTTGGTGATGTGTTGGTTGTCCCATGTGCTTTTATCATGGGTGCCTTTTCCCCACAATTTACTCTATTCCTAATCCTCCTCCCTCTAGTGGCCACCAATGCAATTCTTTACCTCTGGCTGGGAGAGCAGGACAGTTGGCTTCCTTCAAAGCCAACACCTTTGCTGCTGCATGGACTGGTGAGTAGAAGTGCTGTGCAAGCAGCATCTTCATTCTCTCTGGAGACTAAATGCATCGCCTCCACCGTACACCTTGATTGCAATAGGCTGAGAAACAATCCTATCCTTCAGGCCTACGCTAGAGTAAAGTGCCTCACCATTCTGAAAGCAAAGACTAAAGTTTGGTTATATTTAGAATGGGAGAGATTGAAATAAGATGAATGATCCCATTTTACCCCATATTCCAATGTATTACCAATTTTTCCTTTCTTAACTTCTTGGAAACCTATCACTTAACGTGAACTTTGTCCAATCTTGTCCTGCACTCAGTGAATCTCTGATACCTCTGATTTTCAAGGATTGAATCAGAGAAATTATTTTCACAGAAATGATTTTCAAATAATAGATTTAGTATTTCTGGACTCATACAGAAGTAAATCATTAACTACAAACCCAAAATTTAGTAGTAAGCACTGTCTAAAGTAAAAAAAAAAAATAATGATGTTTCCTTCTGTGTGAAGTATCATGAAACATGGTATGTATAATTTATGGCATATTTTAAAAGATTTCTAATTCCCATCCATTTTTTTGTGGAATGGTTGGTGATTTTTAATGTAAAGATATAAAAAGTATAGGACATTACTGTTTCTTTTAATAAAAGAAAGGATATTTAAAATGAATTATTCAAGTGAGTTCCATTGTATTATTTATTCATTAGTGGCATTTATATATATAGATTTCTTCCAATTAAATTACTTTTTTATTCAATCGATACTTTCCCCTTAACAATAAATACATAACTCAGGTCCTAGGTAAGGTGAGATAACTTACTTAAGAATAATTAAAATCATTTAAAGTTTAGGAAATTTAATGAGGAAAGTTTAAGTGTTGAGATAGATTAACTTAGAGAAGAGAAGGCTGAGGGAAAGTGTATCTTCAAGTATGTGACAGAAAGTTGAATGGCAAATTCTTAGTACCTGTTCATCTTTGTACTAAAAATTGCTATATTTGGGGATGCTTTAGACATAGTTTTGTCGGAGGCCAAGAAGGGATTAAATGAATTCTCAATGTTCCTTCTAACCCTATGATTCTTTTGTTCAAAAAGGGGATAGTCCAACAACAACAACAAACAAAAACAAAAAAACAAAAAAAGAGAGAAAAAAAATAAGTCATGAAGAATGAATTTAAAAGAAAAGCCTTGAATTTCTTAAAGAAATATGAAAAATCTAAATGAATGTTATTCTTTCCCATAGCACTTGTATTGAGAAATCATATTAGAAAAGTAACTTCTTGTGATAAGGGATAAATCAAAAGAAAAGGAAGGCGAAAAGTCCCTGGAAAGAGAATTTTCTTTTCTTTATTATTTATACTTCTCTTTTCTCTCTGAAGTTACTAATTGGAGATATTTGAGGTGGTTTTGGCAATTGGAATTTTGCTCATTTGTAAGTGATGGTGTCAGCATTCATGGGGTCATTGCCTTCTTTGGAAGAGACATGTACAGTGCTTGAAAGTTGGCAGGCTTAGTGTGAAGAGCTCCCATTTGTCTTGGTAAGTGGATCTCCAAGTGTGGTCCCTAGACCAGCAGCATCAACATCACTTGAGAATTTATTAGAAATGCTAATTTGGGGATCCTCTCTCAAACCCACTGAATAGAAACTGTCTGGATGGAGCACAGCAATCTGTGTTTTAGCAAACCTTCCAGGTGCTTCTGATGCTCGGTCAAGTTTGAGAATCACTGGTCTTGGTTGACAGAGAAATTTAAAACCTAGCACTCTAGACACAATAGAATCCACATGCTCATCACTGAAGTCTGTGCATCTCCCTAGACTCTTTTGCACCTACAACAATGTCTGGCACATATTACTCAATAAGTATTTGTAGATGAGTGAAAGAACAAAAGGAATTATTTTGGCAATTATATATTTGTGTGGAAAATGAGAGCTTGGAAATGCTGTTTTTCTCATGAGGTGAGGCTAAAGGATTGCCACAAAGCATAATATAATTTTGATTAGCATAGATAAGTAAAACCAAGCTCCTCTCTTTTGTTTTCTTTATTCTGAATAGGTGGGAAATATTTCCTTGGCTATAGAATACGGATATCAATTATTGGAGTCATTATCTTTCCACATACCCCTACTTTAAACCCCCAAGTTTCTTAAATACAGGAAGCATATGGTTGAGAAAATCTTTTGAGACTTGGAAATCTTGATCAAAGAGGGAACCAGTTATCTGCTTGGTAGTAGTAAACGGAACTTCATCTATTGTTAAGGAATCTTCCAGGAAATAGTTAGTTCTACCTAGTCTTTACTAAGTAACTAAAGATGAATACTAAAGTTAGTTCTCAATTGGCATACTTCACTCTAGTCTTTCCAGGGTGGTGTTAGGTATCTTGCTGTCAATTTTTTTTTTAAATGGAAAAAGTGAAAACAAGATCTGAAAGAACTTCCTATTGCAATCTTATAAGACTCCTCAATGTTTTTACCTATTGCTAACCTGCATGTTTTATTAACGGCAAGACCTTTGGACTTTGTGTTTGAGAACAATATTGGTAGTTTTTTCTTGTGAGATCTTTTAAGATAAGAAGTTTTGAGACTGTTTTTCTGTTGCTTAGCAGATCCAATGACAAATCTAATGCTTTAGGAAACATTGCTGGTGACTAAGTTCAAGTAATTGTCTTTTCTCTGAGTCAGTGATGAAACACTTCTTTAGCCTGCATAAAAACATTGACATGACCCGGGGTATTGTCTTCAGGATAAATGTGATTTTTAAGATACAGTTATACTCTTCCTCTGAGTGAAATCCAAGCCCATAAATTATAACTTGGCTATTTTCTGAACCACTGTTACTTCAAATAGAGTTTTTGGTTTTTTATTTCTTATCCAAACTACTGAATGCCCTGTAGTTTATCTGACTTTCAAATTTATATACCTCCATTGTATTCATGATTAATGTGTCAATTGATAAAGGTTAGCTGGACTGTAAGAATTGTATTATTTTAAAATACAAAGATTTAGGAGTGTTTTTTTTTTTAAATTTTTATCTATTAGTAATTTATGCCAGTATGCCTTTGCACTCTGACTTCTCAATGTTCAAATAACAAATACTGTACATTTATCCTTTGATTTTAGTCATACATATTCTACTTTTACTAACGTTTGGCTAGATATGGAATTCTCAGATTTTAGTGTGCATCAATATTACCTAAGGTTTGTTCAAACAAGATTGTTAGGTTCTGCCTCCAGGTTCTGATTTGGTGGGTCTGGCATAGATTCCAAGAATTTGCATTTCTGACAAGTTTCCAGTGATGCTGCTGCTACTGGTTCAGAAACCAGGCTTTGAGAATTATTGGGTTAGACACCTAGGTTTCATAAAGCTAGTGTCTATTAACACAAAGTAATAAATCTTTTAGGTAATTATCCATATTATAGTTGTAATCCACATTACAACTAGTCTTTTTAATGATAAATGGTTCTACAATTGAGCTCTGTAATAATAAATGCAATTTTATAGTTTGAAATACATTTTCTGGTTACCTGTTTCATTTTATCATTCTAGGCAGCACCATGAGGTAGACATTGATATGATTATTTCTATTTTGTAGGTAAAATTCAAGTGAAGTAACTTGCTGAAATTAGGACTTAGAACTTGAGTCTTTAGTGATTTTAAAAATGTAGCATTTTCTTTCATAATAAAAATGGTCTTTACCTTGAACAGAGCTTTTTCTCTAGTTGGCAACCTCAAGAGAGCCACATGATATAGCCCCATTTAAAAATAGCTTCTTTACTAAGCTTGAAATTTCATTGCTTCAAATGCTTTTCCCAAAGCAATGGATCTCACCTGTAGCTGCATATTGGAATTATTGGAGAAGTTTAAACAATTCTGTGTTTGGCATTGCCCTTAAAGATTTTGATTTAATTCCTTAGGAGTGTGGCATGGGCATCAGATTTTTAAAAGCTCCCTATGTAATCCTAATGCACAGTTAAGATTGAGCAGTACTGCCTTTGAGGTTGATTGAAAATTTATTTATTTTTCAAAGGATTTACATTCAGATTCAGATACCTCTGGAACCATTACTAACTCACATCTCTGTTATTAATTGGCTACTAGTTGACTATACTGATTAATGAGGTTTGGGTATAAGTATTTGGAATGAGAAAGTATAGAGGATCATCAGAGAAGGGAATGAAAAAGGTGGCAGGATGCCAATTAATTTCATAATTTGCTTGAGTGGGCATTGGCCTTGGACATGCATTTGGAAAGATTTT